ACCAAGCGCGGGAAAACAAGCAACGATTGCTAAGCGCGGGGAAAACAAGCAACGTTTACCAAGCGCGGGAAAACAAGCCACAGGTGTGAAGCGGTGGAAAACAATCGATGGGTTCCGCGAGTGTAAAAATCATGCCATGAATGTTAAGCGCATGCTGCTTGCAGAAAAAGAATTCTAGCTTTGTTACATCTCACATAAAGGCGAATATACTCTCTAAGGCACTGAATAGTTTATTGACAATTGTTCTTTGATCTACTGTATCTTCAATTTTATTTGTTTGTTTGTCTGTTGTGTTTAGGTTAGACCCAATCATATCACATGTTCCTGTGCAGGAACTGAAGTTGTCTGCCGTTCGATTTGCTGTCAATTCAGAGGTGATTCTCCCTTTCAAAGAATTATTTCTCGATGAACTGACAAATAATTTCCAAATAGCGAAATTTCTTTCAAGGATTCACGCTATGGTTTGTCCACCATAGACCCTAGCTTAAAATTTTTCAAGTTCACCAGCAACAATCTGCGTTGATTCTCTCCAATCCATATCCATTTTGGTTCCCTAATTGTTTTTTCTTACCTTTCCGTCGTTTTTTTCTAACCTTTGCTTGGCACTGAGGGTTTTTCTTCTCTTTTTGCCGAAAAGCGACTCGAAACATTACAATGTAGCTTCAATTTAAACCCATGGCTAAAAATTAATTGTCTTCTGTAACTCAGATCCAGACCATTTTAGTGGGCGACTCGGAAGGCCAGGTTACTGTGTATCAACTGAGAGGTCTTCCTGCAAAAGTGGACAACCAGGTATAAAGTTTTCCTTAGCTGTATTGGCAGCGTTTATTGTTTAGGTGAACTTCACTTACAGATCAGTAGTGCATTTACTAGGTGGGTAAATCGATAATATCTGCATATCACATGGAATCGTGTAAAGAATCAAAGCATGGTCGCAAGAGCACGTTAAATATGTTTTGGTTCTGCAAAGGGCTTACCATTTGCGAAACGCGAGATTATCTGAACCAATACTGCTGTGGTCGCAACGCGTGCGATTTCCTTGGCTAACGAATCTGTCTCGAAACGTGCATTTGCCTTGAGATTTGCTACTGGTGCGACACGCGTGTCGTCGGTGGAAGTGGGGGCCGTCTCGGCACCTCAGGGTATTTAGGTGTTGTCTAGACACGCGTGAAGATCTCGAAACGCGCGGCTGTCTCTTCATGCGTGATTGACGCCTCGTGTCATTGACGACTTGCTCGACTTACCACTAGCTGCTTTTTTCTCCTCGCAAATATTTCAAAAGTAATTTTTTAAAGAAAGAAGATTTTAACCCCACCATATCGTCACAAATAGAATTTCAGTCCATCTTTTCTACTAATTTTCTTATTCTTCTTTCTTTGGTCGCACAATCACTCCTTTCTCCCCAGAAGTCCTCAAGATTTTTATAAACCTTGGATGGTATTGAAATATTGTTGAGTGCAGCGCACATATGGCAAGTCCATGATTCGGGAAGAACCGGTTTGTAGCGTTTTCTCCATGAAAAATACTCGTTGTAAGCGTTCTCGTTTCTGTCCAGGAAAAGTAAATAATCAGCTAGAGTTTTAATCGACGCGAAATCCAAAACGTTGATAAAAGAGCCAGGTATAGCGATTTTCTGGTCGTACGAAGCGCCTCCGAAAACTACCGGCACAATATCGTGGTCAAATGGCATGTACCAGTACTTTTCGGTCACGTAATCCGAGCAGTATGAATTTTCAAATGCAAGGATAAATTTATAGCGTTTTAACGTATCGTCGCAAGCCGAAGATTGCCTCGGACACGTTTCAGTTTGGTTAAATCTCTTTGAACACCATCCAAACACATCCACTTTGACGTATTTCATGAGTTTTTTGACAAACTCTTCGCGCAAACCCTGGCAGTGACTGACAACCCAAACCACAAGTCTATCTTTGCTCGATGCATAATTTCTATCTTGCGTTTCCTCGTTTTCAATCTCGTCGGGCTGAAGTTGGGTGTACGTTCGGTAGGGCACGAAGAAATCCGAATCCCTCCTATAGGACATAGTCCAGTTAAAGAACCCGTTATACAGCCATGGTTCGTAAAAAGTAAATTGAGGGCTTTCATGTGTAAAATAAACCCATCTCTGATGTGGAGTTTTAAACTTCATTATGCGTTTCATGTGAGAAACACTGGGTAAATCTCGTCCGTGGAATATCACTGCATCACTCCGATTAAGGTCTTTCCGGTTGTAAGAGATTCTACATGCCTGCACAGCACAAGGTATTCGGTTCCAGTTTGTGAAATTGTAATCGTTAGAAAGTCCTCGCCATGGTCGTTCACCGAATAAAGTCGTGTAGAACAGAACGAGTTTCAAAGCGTTTCTCCTTCGTAATGTCTGCGGCCCGCTGCTGAAGAATAATTTCGTAGCTATTCGTTGATCGGACATCTTTCTCGATGGAATTTTGCTGTCGAGGAACCAGTATTGTAGAATTAAAAGAGAGCTTCCCAAGCTAATGCTGTAAAATAATAATCTAGCTTTCCAATTGCCTGCCATGGCTTTTACGGTTTGTCAGGGCCCAAGCTTTTATTTGGAAAAGAGATTGATTCAATGGGATTGTTCCACTATGAAATTGGTAACCTAGCGACATATTCATCGAAAAAAGAAAAGAAAAAAAAATAAAGAACCCTCCCTTAAAAAGAATTTAGATATTCCTTTTTACTTATTACTTCGTTTATATCAACTTTCAAAAAAAATTTTTTTGAAGGAGGCGGGAAGGGGGAAAAAGCGAAAACATTCCTCTCCTAGCCAAATTTTGTTTCCAAAAACATCCGCTCGCGGTTTACAGATTGAATTCGAAATGGCTTTTGTTCTTGATGATGTGCGTGCCTAATATCTTAAAATTTTAATATTCTTTAAAGAGGAGTGTATCGGTCAATTCAGTCTGCCTCTAACTCAGACAACCATGAACGCGTAAATGTTTAAAATGTTAATCGTGATCTAATCAATAGTGGCAACCACAAATTCACAGATTGTTTACGTTGTCATTTGAGCTTATAATCGCAGCTTCACCTTCGTGTAAATTAACTACATTACTTAAATATATCGAAATATAGATCTCAATAAATTGTAATTTAAGAAAAACAAATTCCTGCTTAAAACAATCACACGAAGGTTTTGGTTTGTTGCGGTCAGCGAAATTTGTAAATAATCAAATTACAGTGTAATTTGCTGAGTTTGACTTATATGGTTGCGTGTCACGCCTTCAGAGTGGCAGCTTTTAGTCGCAAGTTTTTAAAGGTCGCCGGTCATAAATTACAGCGCAGTACGGTTGAGAAAAACTCTAGTTCTAACTCTGTATGTTTAGATAGTGGTAGAACTTTCCTAAAAAAAAAATAATGCGATATTTATTCTTTATTTCTACAGGCGCAGATATTGACCAAGTTGATCAGGTCTGTCGATAATTCCGCAGGATCCCAAGAGAAAAGGAAAGCAGATTCGGATTAAAAAAAAAACTCTGGAAACCGAGTCGCTTTGATGAGTTATTCTTTGACTTACGTGGCTCGTAAGTGTCCGTAAAATCCATACATAGGTGTGAGCGCCGGTAATTATTACATGAAAGCTGTTTTTTTATGTAAAATATCAAGGAAAAACCGCAAAAGGATTTTTGAACTCTCATTGGTTTTATTGTCCGACATGAAAAAAAAAAGTTTGTGGTGTTTAAGAAGTCACGAATGCGGACTTTAAAATTTCAAGGGAGTTCGTAGGATGATCTATAGCGAATTAGGTTACCAACGTCTTTAACGCAGTTGTTTGAAGGCCAAGATCACAGATTTTCATAGCAAAGAATCTATGTTATGAAAAACAAACAAACATACAAACAAAAAATTTGATAATTCTAAAAAAATATATGTTTGTACTTGAATATAGGTCAGAATAAATGTGTTATTTATTTTGTAAAAAGTGTATCTTACATAAAATCTTTCTTGATATAGAGAAACGACTTGTCTTAAATAAAACAGGACATTTTCTAAAAAGTGGTCACTGTTGCGTTGGTGCTTTCCTTAGAAGACTCAAGGAGAGTTTGATGCTTGCTTCCACTTATCGCTCTATGACTTGGCGGAAATGTTTGGAAACTTGATTTTTTTTGGTGAAGGTGTTTTTTTCCGTTGCATTTTTTCCTGTCCTTCCACAAATAACAACTCTGTTGTCCCCTTTTCTATAAACGCATCGTCTGAAGAACGATTTCAAACTTCGTTTTCTCTCTAGTGCACTTGGCGTTGGTGTGACAGTGATGAAGAACTGCGAGCCGTTTGTGTTCGGTCCTGCATTAGCCATGCTTACTGTAAATGGTCGATCGTGCCGCAAGTTTCGATGAAACTCGTCTTCAAACTCCCCGCCCCAGATAGATTCCCCTCCAGTGCCATCACCTGATTTACAAAAAAAAATAAAATCGTATAGTTGTAGCCTTGGAAAGTTCTCGAAAAAAGTTAAATCGTGATGTGGATGGAAAAGGTGTTTTTTTTTCTCAATGAAGTCCCACTTTCCAAAGGCTGACATGCCAGTTTTTAAGCTTTAACTCACATAAGTGACCAATAAATAATTTCTCCAAGCAGTTTTAGTACACTATTCAGTATAAAGGTTTTGAGAACGAAGAAAAATATCAACCATGGGATACTTCATGATTAAAGACCAAAATCTCAGATCTAAAGCTGAGAAATATAAGTTGGTCAGTAAGGAGAACTCGCCATTGAGATCTTTGAGCAGAAACGGGAAACAAGGAGACAAAAAGAATCACCTAGCTGCGAGGAGACAGGAATAAAATTAGCTCAAGCAACTTGACAAATCGACACACTTCAAGGAATTGTGTCGGCTTTCAGGGAAATTGTACATCTTGCTAATTTCCTCGATAAAATAACACTTGTGCAGACAAAGTTTTAAATGGAGATCATAAATCCCAGATCAAACTTGCCATTCTCTTTACTGTCAACCATACAATTCTTATAATGTTGGTTTAGAGAATTCAGTATTGGATCAACTAATTATCCCCAAAGTAATATTTTTCT